CCTGGGAAGCTCTGAGCACAGCTGCAGAAATGTGTTGGCCTCTTTGGTGACTTCAGACTCTGTGTTTAGTGAGGATCTTTTTAAGGGATGATGAAGGAGAAGAATGGGGCAGTTTTCAGCATATAGCAAACAACTATTGACCTCCTCAGGAAGTTATGAGAAAAAACACATCCCATCACTAGGACTGTTTTTAGCTCCCAGGGTGAGAGTTTTCCATGCTAAAACCAGGCTTTAGTTAGGAGTGATGCAATAGCTCAGTCCTGATATCTATCCAGTTAGTGTAAATCCAGAGTTACTCTACTGGTATAAATGACATCAAAATCAAGTCCCTTAGCTACTGCCTGCAGTTATAACATGAATACATGTTTAGTGTTGTTGTAGCCATGATGGTTCGGGGAATATGTGAGAAACAGAATGTGTTTGGTGCTTTTATTAAACCAACTATATAGTTGGGAGAGATGTTAGACAAGCTTTCAGGAAAAAGAATGCACTTCCTTAGGTCTGGGAAAGGAAAAAACATCCATTTTATTTAAATAGTGGAATTAAATGTAATTGATTAGACTAATTTAGCTTAGGCTGTATCTGCTTCTTTCCCAGACCTGAGGAATGAGTTCTGTTGCCTAACTGTGTAGTGTGTGAAAAAAGGATTGAACTCAGCACTTCACAATTCTTACTGGTTTGGTATGTTTTGGAAGCAATTTCACAGACCTTATCACCAAGATAAGTTCTGGAGGACATATCTTTTCTGAAGTTGACTGTTATTCCTGCAATGCCTACATCATTTTGCTATTTTATATTTTCATGCACTCAACAGCATAACAAGTACAGGAATCATCAGCACCTCATATACATAAGAACCGAAGCAATCAAGCAATACGATGAAAAATAGTCCAACAAAAAACTGTCCCTGGGCAAGAAGCTTACACATCCAAAAAAAAAAAAGAAGTATATTCAAATCAATTTAGTTTATATTCAAAATTATGTATATATAATCAGATCTGTCTACATATTTTCTTAATACATTAATGTAACTCCTAAAATTAATGCTAGAATGTTATATATTTACCAATGTATGCCTATGTGCATGTGTATACATGCATATACATAGATATATGCATATTCATACACACGTCTGTGCATATACATTTATATGTGTGTGAGTGCATGCACACACTATATATGTGTCTGTGTATATAGGCACACAAACACACAATCAAAAACATACTATTGAGACAGCTAAACAGGTTCATATCCAACTTTCTTCACATCTCTTGGTCTTAAGCAAGAAAGTGAAACCAGAGTTCAGTTTCCAGTAATACACCATGTCTGGTCTCGAGCAGACTGTGAATGCCCATGCATCATTTCCTATTTTGTAAACTAGGAGAAATGGTTATGACTTTTACTTGTTTAGACTGTAAACTCTGGGGACCTGCTCTATTGTACTGTGCATCTGCACAGTGCCTATTGCTTTGGGCCCTGATCTCAGTTAGAGTCTCCAGGTTGTACTGTAAAGCTACTTATAGTACTGTAATAAGAATGATAAAAAATACCTGGGTTCTGTCTAGACTCCAGCCTCCAAGTTTGTTGCTATCGGGGTAGCACTGGTGAAGAATTAAAATTCTGATGGCACCAACTGCAGAGGCAACATAAGAAAAGAATGGAATATATTTCATCAGCTTTAGATGTGTGTGTGCTGGTATGTTTAAATTCCTTTTGGTTTATTGTTCCTTCATCTGTGAAGTTCCTGCTAATGCTCAAAAACAGGAAGGATTTGCATAGGAACGAAAAGGAGTTAATTTCTGGAATCATCAACATGTTTGTTTCATACAAGTAGAAAACTGTTTCTTTTTGAAAAAAAACCCAGCCCAATATACAATTACATTGCAATGAATACAAATGCCGTAAACAGGACAATTCCAACAGCAAAGAAAGCTTAACATGTTAATGCATAAATACACTTTGTGCTACTGAAAGCATTGCATCTGTCAAGTCAGTAGCTTTATGCAAAATAAGCACATAAAAGGTGCTTACAAGTTTCACTGTGCTTTGCTTTACAATGTGGTGCTGTGGATTATTATTATTTCCTAGAAACCTCATTCAAGGACCAGGGGTCTATTATGTGATATGCTGTACTAACACAGAACAAAAAGAGGGTCAGTGCCCCGAAGAGTTTATAGTTTAGATGGCATTGATTACTGTTTGCCAAATTTGGAATTAGGAAGCAATTTTCCCCCAGGGCCATATTGGCAAAGACTGAAAAAGATTTTGCCTTTTTCTCTGTGTGGGGCATAGTCTTCTTCCTAGGATCTTCTGACCATCTGCCAATATTTACCATATCCTTCCATGTCATTGTAGTGATAGACCAGTGTCACACCCTGCTTTTAGCTATGGCATACTGTAGAGCATTCCTGGTATTTCTCTTTTTGCGCTTTGAAAGTTTGAAGTTGTAAATTTTGGACTTCCTTGTGTAAGTGGTTGCCTGTGGATGCAGGCTGCTGGACTCAAAGGGCATTTATAGACATGATCCAGGAGGTGGGGGCAGGGGAGTGCTTTAATTAGCACAGCTCCAAGAGCCATGCTAATTAAAAGCACTTGGAGTGTCATGTGTATCAGCGTCCCTGCGCTGAAAAATGGCAGAGGAGTGCTTTGAGATAAAGCTCATCAAACAAGATTTAGTTTGAAACACCCCGCCACCATTTTTCAGCGCAGGGATGCAGATGCAAGTGACACTGGAGTCTGCTGGAGCACAGTAATTTTCACACTGCAGCAGACTTCATTAATCGAGTCTGCTCTCATGCACTGGAATTACAGTGCATTGGAGCAGCCTCCCTGCATGTGTTATAAGTGCCAAAGGGCATTTATAGATATGCTTCGGGGGGGATGGAGGGGAGCCGCACTAATTAAAAGCACCCAGAGTGTCATGTGTATCAGTGTCCCCATGCTGAAAAATGGCAGTGGGGCGCTTTGAACTAAAGCTCATCAAATGAGCTTTAGATTAAAGCACCCCACCGCCATTTTTCAGCATGGGGATGCTGATATACTTAACGCTGGAGTCTGCTCTGACACACTGGAATTACAACACATCAGAGCTGCCTCCCTGCATATGTATAAGTACTCAAAGGTTTGAGAGGATCCTTCCATAAGTATGTTCTTTGTTTTTTGTGGTATCCAAAATACCCAAGTCCATATGGAACTATATGAAACCCATGTTGTATATAGTTATATAAAGGTGATGGTTTTATTTCGTGCGCACTGCAGAGACTGCTGTCAGCAGAAGACAGCTGTCATGTGGTAAGCCAGAGTTGCTGCAGTATGTCAAAAAAGATGCATACATCTTGCTCTCTCATGGACATTTTGTTTGCTAATTTTGTTTGGCTTCTTTTTCTTAATCTAAAATAAAAGTCACCCCCACTAACAGCTTTTGGTTTGTCTTGGGGTCTGGAATAAGATAACAGGAATTCACATGACTCCTCCTACAATGTTATATCTTTGCTTTAACACCTTATTTAGTTTCCAGTTGTGTTGAGCATCAAAATCCAATTGTCTCACATTTCTACAGCTAGGTTGACAAAAGTCAATAGTAAATATGTTAAACAAGGCAGTTGTAGCAAGTTGTTGTAAGACTGATTACAGATGTACAAAAAGGGAACTGTGCAGCAGCAAAACTTCCAAGCACCATTAAAAACTCACACAGTGTATTTTTTAAAGAATAATTGGCCATTTTAACCTGTCTTTGAAAGAAACATGAAATGTAGTAAGGCTCAGACTGTACACAGGGTACAGAGATATGGTCTAGACATGGTTGTTTCAAAGACTATGGTTATAACACCAGTGATTCAGAGGAGGCACGTGGCTGCGTCACTTGCTGACCAACAGCCTCTGGTTTTGAGCTGTATTTAGATCAGCTGCTGTAGTGTATCATAGCTCAGCTCCAGGTCAGCTGTGCTCATTACCATTTACAGTTGCTGAGACAACTGTTGCACAGGTTGTAATCTTTCTTTTTTTGAGTCATCAGAAGGTTAAAAGGGGAGACCATTCAGGGAAGAAACCTGAGCACTTCCAGCCTCAACTCTGAAACAGACAATGTAGAGGTGGTTTTGGAATATGTTTCAAAATGGAAAGGAAAATGAAACAGGAATCTATTTTGTTTTGCCATTTTTCCGACTATAGGAGACATCTAGAAGTAAATGTTATTAGGTACATAACACAAACAGTGTAATCCAAATAAGTATATAATACAATTAGGGCATGCTCTTCCATATGGTACTAATAAAAAATATAGCTCTGTTCAATGCCAAACTCTTACAACTCTCCCTGCCCTGCTGGACAAGGGTGTCTTTCAACACGTTCACTGGCATCTACCCTGTGAGGCAACCTTCCTGTGCCTTCTTCTCCTCCACTTTACACAAGTGGGATTTTAAAGGCCTTAGGTCTTATTTCTAGAGGTGGGGAGGTAAGAATAACCTGGCTACATAGTACCCAACCTCAGACTGACTTTGGCTCTTTAGTTTCTGAGAGGCTCAAATAGGGAGGATACATAGATAATACTATAGTGTATTCTCTTTGAGATCAAATCCTTGGGTCCCAGGGCCCACAGTTGGAGACACTGCTTTGCTGCTCTGAACTGGCTTAATGAGTTTCCCTGGCCTACACATTGTAGCAACATGTCAATGCCCTGGGGCTATGCTCCTTCTAAGCAGCTGTTACTGTTATAAGGAGTGACATCAGAATACTAGTAAGGGGAATGTTCCCGAGGGGAGCCTTCCTGGAAATAAGTCACTGCTTTTACTAAGTACTAGTGCAAACAAGCATTGACTTACCGAATGCCTTGAAAGCCTCTGTAGCCTCATTGGATGAAAGCCTCTGTAGCTCCCGTGAACAAGGTCCAGGCTCTTGATGGTCTCAGCTACAAATCAGGATTCCCACTCGAATGTGGTCTAGGTCACTAGAGGGAGAAGAGGGTTTCTAGGTTCTGTTCCTTCCTGCCACAACACAGGGCAAGACTTGGATCCTCAGGAAGTCCTTCCTAGAGATATGATGCCTGAGAACTGTTTCTCAAGCAAAGCAACATTTCTGAGCATGGAGGGGAATCTGTTTGAGCCCCAACAGGAGAAGCATAAGACAAACAACAGGCCTAGAGAAAAGACCCTGAGAGCAAATGGGACCCTTTATGCTCTGTGACTAACTTGAGTGCACAGTCACCACCATTGGCTGGGATTCACTATGCAGATGTGTCGATTAGATGTAAAACAACATTTGAGCAAAGGAAGCTGAAGCTCTTCCAGAAAACTTTGCTAAGCTCTACAAGGTCCCTTAATCCATTTATCAAATTTCCATTTCAAGGCAGAGCAAACAATTATAAGCCTTGAGAAAACAGAGTTAATCTCTATGTCAAGTCCGAGCAGACTCTGTTGACTCGTGCCAACTGTGGTTAAAGAGACATTCTCTGGTTAAAAAAAAAGCTCAGGTTCCATCGGCTGTCTAGATTAATTCCATTTACTTGAAAGCTAGAAACTAACTTTCTTTTATCAAAAGCTGACATTCTGACATAATCACATGACTCCAGGAAGGGATGCTTTAAATAAATCATCAAAGAACGACAACAGTTGGCAATAATAAGGATTAAAATGTTGTTTCAGTAAATGATATAAATGGAAAAATAATCCATTACAGTAAGCACTGTAAATAAATTTACCAGATATGGCCCCACTAAAAAGGGCAGCATATTAATACCAGATTTTCAGAAGTCAGTTCTATTTAAGTATTCTATCTGCAGAAGGGGTGCTGGGCTGTTCTGAAAGTCTGGTCCTTATTTAGGAGCTTAAAAGAAAGTTAGCAATTCTGAAAAAACCCAACACTAACACTTAACTTTCCACATTTACTAGTCTGTCCCTAAGCTATATTGCTGTGCTTGCTTCTCCTATTATAGCTTAGTTTGGGGAAATTTCTGCTACCTTTCACCAACAGCAGTAATGGTGGAAACATCGTGATAACATCAGATCTGTCATTACTTTGATCGTATCTGTACCACAAATGACTCTTCAAATTAAAAAAAAAAGAGGTTTGTCCCCTGGAAATCAAAAGGTATAAACAAAAATAATGGCTATTGGGAAGTTTTAATCACCCTACTACCGAGAGGTTCAGTTTCATTTGGATTTTTGTGAAACCCAACTGCTCAGTCCTTGTCAGCAGTCAGTGACAAAGTTTCATTACTCATAAGAAAAATAGAGAGGGAGAAAAGCAGGAGAGACAGGATAACACTTGCCATGTTCCAGGTGTGTTTGATCATCTTCCAGCTCTTATAACACCAGCCATCACTGTTATGCTCTGGATTGATCAGTTTAGATGATTGATTTCTGTACTTGTGCCAGTGTCTAGATATCATGCAGTTGCAGGGTAGAAGGAGGAACAGATGTTGCTGTTCCTCAGCTTTGTGCCACCATAAAAAATGTTATGGCTGTATAAAGTGACAGCAAATAGTCATCTATACCTTTTGTTGTGCCATAATGTGGAATAAAGGTAGTTACAACTTGCGCTGCTTTATTGCAGCAGACATGTATTTGCTTTATGGCTGGAGAGAATGGGCAGGCTGGAGGTGCCCACACTCCCCCACTGCCCCAGGCAGGTGCTCCCAGGGTTTGAGGGACCCAGTACTGCATGCCCTGGGAATTCCTGTGCAGGATTGGGCTCCACAAGCCCCCAAAGTGCCTCCTGGGCTTTCTCTGCTTTCAGGGACACATCCCTGCAATCTCCAGGGCATGCCTCTGCATGAGGGGAAATTCAAGGCTCCCTGCTTCCAGACACTGGTCCTGGAGATTACCAAGGGCATGTCTCTGTAACTAGGTTACCCCAAATTTCCTAAATTCCAGAGATGCATCCCAGAGATCCCAGGGACATACCTCTGAAAGCAGGGAAAGTTGGGACACTGGTATGGCCCTGGGACCAAAGCCACCAATCAGCTGATTGGTGGCCCTAGCCCCAGGACTGAGGACCACACTGGAGTGCCCCAGCTTTCCTGACTTCCAGTGATGTGTTCCTGGGATTTCTGGGGTGCATCTCTGGAAGCAGGGAACACTTTCCCCATTGGCTCACAAAGTCAAGTTGGACAATGGACAATGTGTGTTTCATCCAATGAAATGGATCAGCTATGCCAGGACACATCCTGGGGCAGCTGATCTGCTTTATTTGGCAACATCTATTTCTATCCTAAGTCTCAGACTGGCTAATGCAGGCTGCAGTACCTACTGCCATGGCACAAGGTCTCCACAAGTCCTGGCCAACACTTGGCAGTCCTGGGATGGAATGCAGATCACTTTACTGGCAGCGAGCTCCAAAAGTCATTACCATGAAATCAATTGATGCTATTTGTCACTCACTTTCTCATTCTGTGCTGTACATTTTAAGAGCAGATGGACAATCTGGGCTGGTTTCCAGAATTATCTGTACTGAATCCTTCAGGCAAGTGCCATTGGAGTTTCCATGCTTAAATATGCATTTTGAATACATGCAGTAGAGGACTGGCAGGTCAAGAAGAAACACGGAAATGTCCCAGACCTAGTGCAGATGGTGTCACAGCTCCCAGAGTGCAAAGCATCATAGCACTTTGCACTTCTAATTCACTCTCTATCTTTTACAGACTCAGTGTTCTCCTAGCATGGAGGTACATTGCTGGGCAACTGATGACAAAAGGCCTGTGCTGTGCCTATGTTTCTGTGGATACTACACCAGTGTCTGGTTTCCTCGGGATGTTTTACTATAATCTGTGTGAACATTTTGGTAAGTGGCATAGCACAATGCCTGAGCCTTGGCTGTCTTTCAGCATCCACATCCCTTTAGTCCTTGTTCTCGGCTGAGACTGCCAAGTCTGAAAGTTGAGACACCTATGAGCTAGGTCACGGGAACTTCCCCTACACCCACCTACCTACCCATACACATGCACAAATTCTTTTCACAAAGAAGACCAGAAAACCATCAGAGAGAAACAATCTTCTTTTACAACTGATCTAAGCTGTATTAGAAGTGGTGAAAAATTCAAAAAGCTCATTACCTTTCCTTTGAGCCTTTCCCATCCCACAGACGGATAAGGCAATTTCCTTTTTGCAGTACCCCACTTTGTATAAAATGCTTGGACTCACTGTCAACTTCCTGAAAACCAAGATACTTTACCAACCTACCCCAAGACATCTAGCTGCTCCCCTACATATAACAATCAGAGGGCAGTCCAAGGAGAACGCTGAGCATTTCCCCTAACTGGGTAGTCACCTTTCCTAAAAAGTAAACATAGATGATTATAGTCTCTCTCAAATAACATTTTCCAGTACTCTTTGGAGATCTCCAAAACTGTGTCTTTGATGGTCATGAGATCAGGACCCAAATCAAACTTCTCATCTACCAAGTGGTTATCATCCATACCCTGTTGTATCGGTAAGAACGTATTCAAAACACCTGAAAGCCTTGGAATGTAACCATCAGCCGTGTTTTCAGAAAACCCTCCATATCAACTGGAAGGACAGGAGAATGAATGCTAGAGCTCTAGCTCAAAGAAATGCCACCAGCATTGAAACCATGTTCATAGATTCATAAACTGTAGGGCTGGAAGGGACCTTGGAAGATCATTGGATCCAGCCCTCTGCACCAGGCAGGAAAGAAAGCTGAGGTCAGGTGACCCCAGCAAGGTGACTGTCCAGTCTCTTCTTGAAGATTTCCAGGGTAGGTGATTGCACCGCCTCTGGAGGGAGCCTATTCCACAGTCTGGAGACTAACTGTGAAGAAGTTTTTCCTAATGTTGAGCCTGAAAGAGTCTTCCAGGAGTTTGTGGCCATTACTTCTGGTTTTCCCCAAGGGTGCCCTGGTGAACAGTTGTTCATCAAGCCCTTGATCCCTTGATGTATTCCCCTGATGTAGCAGTAAATTGCTGCCAAGTCCCCTCTCAGGCTTCTTTTTTTTAGGTTGAAGAATCCCAGGTCCTTTAGCCTTTCCTCATATGGCTTGCCATGCAAGTCTCTGATCAGGGTGGCCCTCCTCTGGATTCTCTCAAGCTTTACCACATCCTCGTTAAAGTGCGGCGCCCAGAACTGGACACAGTACTGCAGCTGCAGTCTCACCAATGCTGAGTAGAGGGGAAGAATCACTTCCTTGGTTTTGCTGGAGATGCACCAATTGATGCATGCCAGAGTATTATTTGCCCTGCTGGCTACAGCATTGCGTTGCTGACTCATATTCATCCACGTAGGCACTGGATTTGGACTCAGCCCCTATACCTTTGTGCCGGGCGAGCACAACCCTCAGACTGATCACAACACCTGCCAGTTGATAATAGGTGAGTTTACTGATACAGAGTGACAACACAAAAGCAACAATACAAACAATCAAGCAATTCTATATCTACTAATCCTAAGGCTGTCATCGGAGTCAAAGTACATCTGGTCAGGATGCAGGCTCCACTCTGAGGTGTCAGCAGTCTGGAGGTGGGATGCTGAGGCCCACAGCCCCTCTCCATGAGACACGCTACTGGCGTGTGCCCTCTGTCCATGGTGGCCTCGGGGACCCTTCCCAGGGAACGAGGATGGGAACACGGACCCCTCTCAGGGAGGAGGAGGAGGAGGAATGGGGAGGGACGAGGAGGGACGGGACAAAAGGAGGGACCCTTTTGTTAATCTCAAGTCTCTGCTTTTGTATTCTAGTTCCCCCTTGATGACTCCTGATGACTCTTCATCCGTGTCTATCTCTGGTTGGTTGTCTCTCTGTGGTCACACATCCAGGTCTTCTTCTAATTTGGTCTGTTTCCCCAAAACTGGGACTCAGGCCCCCCTCTTGCCTGAGGCCTTGAGGCTGGTGTCACTTATCTCATGTTATGGGACAGTACAGTACGTACTTCTTTGGTTCCCAGGCTGTGTGTCCTTGTTGTGTTAGACAACCTATCTGCCTTCAAGGCTGTGTTAATTAGCTGGAGTGCCCCCCTCAATTCTCAGGCTGGGTCCATCTGTTGGCCTTGTTGTGCTAGATAGCCTGTCTGTTTTCAGGGCCATGAGAAGCTGTGTGTGTGAAACCCAGGCTCTTACTAATCAATTAACCCCTGCTGCCAATCCTGAACCTTTATAATGCATATATTTATACCTATAAGCCAATTCCCAAAAAACAGGCCTTTAAATACCATTTCTAAACCAGCAATACAGTGGTCTATTATTATCCCCAAGTTCCTTTTGCTCATGGTGCTGATCAGTTTGGTGCCACCACGCCTGTAGGTGTATAGGGGGTTGTTCATTCCCAGGTGGAGCACTTTCTTTTTCTTAATGTTGTACATGTGGTTCCAACTCACCCAACTTGCCAGCATGTCTAGAGTCGCCTGTACCTATAGCCTATCTTCAAATGTGACCACACTTCCCCATAACTTGGTGTCATCCATGAACTTGGCTAGTGAGCTATTTACCACCACATCTAAATCACTGATAAAGATGTTGAAAAGTACTGAACCAAGCACCAACCTCTGTGGGACACTGCTGTCCACTTCTTGCCAGGACAATACAGATCTGTTCGTTAAGACTTGCTGGGCCCAACCCTGCAGCCAGCTTCCTACCCACCTGACTGTCTCGCAATTAAACCCCCAATCCTCCAATTTTCTAGTGAGAATATCATGGGATACCAGATGAAAGGCTTTTTGGAAGTCAAGGTATACAACGTCAACCTCTTCTCTCTTATCCAGGTGGCAAGTTACCTGATTATAAAAGGAGATCAGGTTGGTAAGACAAGACTTGCCCTCAACGAAGCCATGCTGGCTGTTGCTCAGAATCCTACCTTCTGCAAGCCTATTGCAGATAGACTCCTTAATGAATTTTTCCAGGATTTCCCCTGGGATAGAAGTTAGGGTAATTGACCTATAGTTACCCAGGTCCTCCCTCTTCCCCTTCTTGAAGATAGGCACAACATTGGCCCTCTTCTAGTCCTCAGGGACCACTCCTGAGTGCCATGAGTTTTGAAAGTGTTTCACCAGGGGCTATGTGATGACTTTGGCTTGCTTCTTCAGCACTCTTGGATGGAGTTCATCTGGTCCTGCTGACTTATATATGTCTAATTTCTTTAATTGATCACACAGCAGTTCTACAGGCAATAGTAGGGAGGCAGTCATTCCTACCATACCCATTCTGTACCCTGTTTGGCAAGATTTCCCCCTTGGCCCTGTGAAACACCAAAGCAAAATAGTCATCCAGGAATTCAGTTTTCTCCTGAGTGTCAGTAACCAGCTGTCCTGAGTTGTTGAGCAATGGTCCCACACTCCCATTCATTTTCCTTCTGTTCCCTACACACCTAAAGAAGGACTTCATGTTGTCCTTGATTCCTAATCTAAGTTAAGTCACTGCCTTAGCCTTTCTAATGTGTTCCCTACATGTGAGGGCTGTTGTTGTATAGTCCTCCTTGAAGCCTGTCCCCAGCTTCCATTGTTTGTACACCCCTTTCTTCTTTCTTGGGAGGACCACGATTTCCCTGTTTAGCCAAGAAGGTTTCCTAGCCCTTCTGGTACCTTTCCTTCACAAGGGAATGGATTTCCTTTGTGCTTCAAGGATCGTTTCCTTAAGGAATGACCACTCTTCTTGCTCTCATTTGCCTTCAGTCCCTGGTCCTGCAGCACTACCCCTACTAGTGACCTGAGCTTGTTGAAATTTACATTTTTGAAATCCAAGAATTTAAACCTGCTATCAGATTTGTCTGCCTTCTGATGGACATGATAGTTTCATGGTTGCTGTCACCCAGGCTACCCTCTATATTTAAGTCAGTCACCAGGTTGTCTCCTTTGGCCAGAACCAAGTCTAGGAGAGTGTTACCTTTGGTTGGCCTGTGCACCTCCTGAGCCAGGAAGAGCTCTTCAGTGCAGGTCAGGAAGGAACGTAACTGGTCTGACTTGGCCAAGTGTTCCTCCCAAGAGGTGTCCAGATAATTGAAGTCGCCCATGATGACCATGTCCCATGTACGCATGGCCTCTGCCAGTTTTCAGGCAAACTCTAGATCGAGTTTGGTTTGGTGGCCTGTAGTATACACCTACAGTTAGGTCTCTCTCCACCCCCCCACCCCCACCCCCATAGCTTGACCCAGGGGGTTTGAAGCCATTATACTTTGGAGCTGATATCAGCCTCCAAGGAGGTATATTGCTCCTTCACTTAGAGAGCTACTCTTCCACCTTTCTTCCCTACCTGGTCCCTTCTGTGCAGGGCGTAACCCTCTATGGTTACACTCCAATCACGTGAGGAGTCCCACCAGGTCTCCATAATCCATAGTTTCATAGTTAGTAGGGTTGGAAGGGACCTGAGCAGATCATCAAGTCTGACCCCCCTGCCATGGGCAGGAAAGAGCACCTGGGTCAAATGACCCTGGCTAGATGATTATCTAGTCTCCTTTTGAAGACCCCCAGGGTAGGAGTAAGCACCACTTCCCTTGGAAGTTGGTTCCAGATCCTAGCCATTCTGACTGTGAAGTAGCGCCTCCTGATATCTAGCCTGAATCCACTCTTGGTCAACTTATGGCCGTTATTCCTTGTTACTCCCAGTAGTGCTCAGGGGAACAGGGTCTCTCTCATAGCCTGCTGGTCCCCCTTGGCCAGTTTGTAGACAGCCACCAGATCCCCCCTCAGCCTTCTCTTGTGGAGGCTGAACAGGGTCAGGTCCCGTAGCCTCTCCTCGTAGGCCCTGCCCTGCTGCCCCCTGATGATGTGAGTGGCCCTCCTCTGGACCCTCTCGATGCTGTCCACATCCCTCCTGAAGTGCGGCACCCAGAACTGGACATAGTACTCCAACTGCAGCCTGACCACTGTTGCATAGACGGGGAGGATCACCTCCTTCGACCTGCTCGTGATGCATCTGTGGATGCATGACAGTGCGATAAGCCTTCCTGACTGCATCCCCATATTGGCAGTCCATGTTCATTTTGTAATCAATAATGACACCAAGTTCCTTTTCTGCCTCTGTGCTGACTAGAAAGGAGTTCCCCAGCCTGTAGGTATGCTGCTGGTTCTTCCTCCCCAGGTGCAGTTCCTTGCACTTGTCAGTACTCAGTCCCATCCTACTCTCATCTGCCCACCCCTGTAACCTGTCTAGATCTAGTTGCAGCCTGTCCCTCTCCTCTAGCATGCCCACTTCTTCCCACAATTTAGTGTCTCCGCGAATTTGAATAAGGTGCTTTTCACCCCCTCATCCAAGTCACTGATGAAGATGTTGAACAGTGCAGGCCCGAGGACCAAGCCCTGTGGGACCCCACTGCCCACATGCCTCCAGGTCAAAAAAGACCCATCCACCACCACTCTCGGGGTGCAGCCCTCCAGCCAATTTGTGACCCATCTGACTGTGTAGGCATCGATGCCACAGTCACCTAATTTCTTAATGGGAATGGGGTGAGAGACAGTGTTGAAGGCATTCCTAAAGTTCAGAAAGACTACGGCCACTGTGACACCTGTGTCCAAGGCTGTGACCTGGTCGTAGAAGGCCATCAGGTTGATCTGACAGGGCCTGCCTCTAATGAACCCATGTTGGTTGCCCCTAAGCATAATCTCCCC